ATTTAACCATTAGATGATGCTTACCTTTAAATTTCGTCTCGTTCATTTCGGAGATTAACCCGCAATCGAGAGCTACGGTATTATTCAACGAGACTTTGAATTCCCAGCATGAATTCAATTTAGAAATGCAACATTACACAGAAAATCCTACATGATTCTCATCCTTTTTCCTTGATAAATCCGGTCCCAATTAAGCCCGGCAACACAAAACAGCGACCATTGTGGCGTTTTCTACGTCTCACGTTTTCTCTTCTTCCCGCGAACAATACTCGAAAATATCCAAACGAACGAATTTAATAATCTACTTGGGTACTTGTTATTCTTCTCGAAAATCGGTTTTTATAAGAAAAATCCTGCATAACCGATATAATTAGATTCGTTTTAGCGGCGCAGGAGGAATCTACTTCAAACAAAACTAATTTATAGTGCGCCTATTAAATATCCAAATTGTGGGTATTATAATTGAGTTAATTCGAAATGCGAATCACTTATTCATGTTTGAGCTTTGAACGCGGGGATGGCTTTCAGCATAGTCTGGAAAGTTCGAGGGAATTTTCGAATAAATAAAGCCCAATTAACTCCACTTATCAATGCGCGTGTTTTCGACGATGAACATAAAAATTACAGCCGCATAAAATCGAGCATGCGGCTATAAAAATTCGCTCTTTAATCTAATAGACGCCATTTCCTACTTCGGGCAATAAAAGTCCGAATTTTACAGAAATGCGACTCTTTCCCGAAACCACGTCTCGAACAAAATGTTTCAAATTGCTCATTAGCGATTCGAAGAATTTTTACAAGTAAAAATCCACTATAATGGAGTTAATATAACGATTAATAATTGCTTCTCGCCTCGCACAAGAAAACGCTCCGGTAAAACTAACTCTCGTTAACTCCTACATAGCGACTCGCTTTTTGTAATATCTGTCCCGTGTAAAAGAAGGCGAAAAAAAACCGGTGTACTTTTTAATTTAAAAATTGCCTTCGTGTCGGCGAGTGCCTTATTATTCAGTTGCATAAGCGCCACAGAAAGGTAGAATGAAAATAATATAGCCACCGAAAAACTAGGTTAACTGTTTATATGCAATTTATTATGCTGTTTGCCAAAGAGGCGGCGTTTCGAATTAATCCGTCGCAATTCTAGTTATAATTATCTATCCCCTAAAAATTACAAGGTGTAGAGTACTCTACTATACGAATTAACTCCAAATTATACTCTGAATATAGGTCTTCTTCTACTCTACTCCGATTATATTCCAAATCAACTCTCAATCTATTTTAACTCTACTCCAAATCTGTTCCGAATCAACTCTCAATCTACTCTACTGTTATTCTACACCGAATCTACTCCTGTTCTATTCAACGAAGAGTTCTCTCAGTCTGTAAAGCGTTCGGAGTGAGGAGAAAAGAAAAATTGAGGCGACCTTAGACAATGTCAGGGCAGAACAAAGGCGCTACCGGCGGCGACGAAGGCAAAGGAAAACAACCGGGTAGCTTTCCTCCTCATTTGTATTCCTCGGAATTATTCAATCATCTAAATTAGAATTCAGACGTCGGTGCATTAACGGTGCGCTCAAGGTGATAGTCGCCTATTTATTTATTCGCCTGTACAATAGAGCCGTTGCGTGCGAATCACGTATGCGAAAAAATTTATCTGGAAATTTCTCACTTTTGTTGGAAACATTCACGACTTAATTTATTTTTCTTGCTCTAGCGGTTTTAGAGGAACTCGTATTTCATGTAGTAAACGTTTGGAAAATGAATCGATATTTATTAATAATCGTCTAATAATATATACCTGTTCGAATTCGGAGAAATCGATTTTCCCGAAACCGAATTGCGGAATCGCTCGACCGTGAATTTTGCTACATTACGGATTTTTTTCTTGCTCGCTGAGAGGCGGACAGAAAACCTGAAAGGCGCAAAAAATCCATCGAGACGGCGAATAAGAAAATAATAAAAAAAAACCCGTATCCAGGGAAAAACTTTTCGAATAATTCCTCGCGAGCCCCGTCTTTGTCGTTTGTTTGTGGGCGATTTTCCACGCCGAGAACGAGAAATTCATAATTAATCGGGAAATTCCGGAATAAGCCCGCTTCACGCACCGGCATGAACGAGGTGCAAGGAATATTTCGAAGCGATTCGATTTACAACCTCGCCGAATGTTAAATAACACGGATACATCATAGCTTTGCGATTGCATAAATTCCATGCAATGTCTTTGTCGAGTTACTGAATTACCAGGAAAGTATTCCGATTGGGAGGCGAGTCATAACAAGTTTGCGCGCATCGAGAACGAGGATCGGTTGTATTTTTTGCTTCCCGCTAGACTCGAGAGAAAATACTCAAAGACAGGCGGCTCAAAGAGATCCTTCCTGCCAGATTCCACGTGCCGCAAACGCAGGAAAATCCTTCGAATCGGCGGATAAAGTGAGTATTTTATTTCCAAATCGGTACCTCGCTTCGAGTGAATTCCGCTGGACTACCGCGCAATTCGGGATTGTTATGAGCGGCTATTACAGATAGGCATCTTGTCTGTTACAAGCGTCGTTTGCCCTAAATATAGAACGGAAAAAAATATAGTGAAACATATGCTTTTGCTACACACGAGCTCCGCGTAAAATGATTTAACGACAAACAAGCGCTCCGTTCATCATGCATCGAATTATTTACGGTTTCGCCTGTTTTTCCCGACTACAGGTATATCGATTCAGCATTTTTATATTTCATATGTAGATTCATATTGCTTTTATTTCGCGAACAATCCGCGCAAATTAATTTACTGTTTGTACGCCGGGCAAAGCGGATGTAATTGATTTAACATCGACAATAAAATTGCTACTAACAACAAACGGATAGAGCCCGGATGGAGCGTGGGACTCAAGTCCGCGAGGCTCTAATGGAAATCGATGGTACTCCAAATAATTTTCCAGAAAAATACAACTTCGTGAAGAAAATTCGAATTTCGTTAAAAAGTTTATACAGCGATGAATAGAGTTTGGAAGAGGAGTTGGGAATTTCGCGGTGGTCAGAGCCCGATGGGGGCTCTTTCTAAAAATACTCATTGTTTACATCTCGACTGGTTAATGTTCGCACCACTCGATTTTAATTACGCACAAACTCTTTCGCAAATCGCCGGGCGAATAATGAGATCGAACTGGCGTGGGCGCCCTTCCTTAATCGAGAAAATTCGCCGCCCCGCGAAAAAAATTAATCGCTCTATAACGCAGAACAATTAAATCGCTGTCGGGTAATGAATTCTAAAAAAAATCCTATTTAGTATTTACCGCGTCCATTTTTGAGGTTCGCCGCGGAATTCTCGATTAATTTCCACTCTTGAAGCTTTGAGGCTGCTGGTGCAATGAATCATGCATCGCGAAGTCCAAAGGACATTCACTCCTGCGGAATGCCGGGCCGGTCGATGTATTGTTTCGTGATAACAGGAGAGCAAATAAAGCTGGTACTGCACCGGCGAATTTATCGCTCGGCGGATTGTTTTTCGAGTGGATTTCGAATTAATCCGCCTCGAATTCTAACAGGCCTGCGTATGGAAAATACCGAAAGAAACGCGCGTGTAGGTAGATATTATCACCAAATTGGAGTATTTATGTAGCTTCACTCGGACGCGGGAATGAAACGCTATGATTTATCGAGCTTTATGAACTTGGAAGGGCATTCATCGGTAATTTCGACGAGCACATGTAAAAGCTATCGACTCTCGGAAATGTGTTAATTAAGTGGGTTTAAGGCGCAATTTTTGGATATATTTTTAGACGACCTCTATGTAAATTTGATGTTCCCGCCCTTGTACTCATCTTCTTTATAAAAAAATATTAGATTGTCAGTGCAGTCGACACGTTCCTCTCGATAATCCGCATTGTTATGAGTCGTTCCTTGACGTGCTGATATCGAGTTATTCGAAAATGACTATTCCACGATTCCTTAACACGTGCACGCGGAGCTCGTGAAAATCTCGGAAAACAAAAGGAGACGCGCTCCTCGTGCCTGACCGCGAAAAATACGCCCGACAATGGCGAAGGACGAGGCGAAAAGGTCCTGCCGGAGAATCTTAATGGTGATCTTGAACCTTGTGTTTCGCGACCGGAGCAAAGCGGCTGAATTAGGGTCGTTTTCGGTTAGGAGGGAAATTAAATTCGCTATTTTCCGCTACATTAATTTCGGCTTAGGTATCTCGAGTCACTTGGGTCACGAGTATTTGGTACACCCTGTATCGTTACCAAATAAAAAACGGCGAAAGAAAGCGATACCTGTATAATTATAATATCGATTAAATTTATTACGAAATCGAGTTTTTTTTTATCTTCGTTAACCTAGTAATAATTCGGTTCACTTATCTCGTCCCACTGACACACAACAAATATTTACTCTAACACCGGCGAATAATCGATTACACGAAAATCAATTTGGGTATTATCGAGCATATAATAATAATAATACGATTGTATCGATAACGGTGGAAATTGTATGAGGGGAAATTTATATTTTCGCTTTTGTTGCCTGTAAATAACTACAATTGTTCACACTATGGACTTAATTATCGTTAATGAGGCTAATCGTCGATTTAGCAGGAAAAATTAGCGGCAATTGGATAATTATCGCCGCAATTGAAGGCCTCCCGTTTGTTGTAGTTCAGGTATTTTTACGACATACATAAAATTGCTGTTGTACGGAATAACAATTTAATTCGGTTCGATTTTATTAAGTGCAAATTAATCCAGCGTATAAAATGCACTCTCGATCGGTATGATTTGAACGGGATTCAATTATTTGACCGCCCGAGCACGCCGGTCGTTTTGGCCTTAAAAATTCCGCACGAAATGAGGTCAAATCCAGCTGAAATAAATAATCAACCGGTCGCCTTTTAATCTATAAATCGCTAGTATTAATTAAATCAATTGCTTCTGAATGTACAGCTATAATGCAAATCCGAGAAAGGTTCCATTGCGCCTTGTAAAAAAAAACCATTTTTCTTGTTCCAGACGAGCCCAGAATCCGATCGGGCACCTGGGAGGAGCAGACATGTGAACACAGGGTGGCGCCGCCGCTCAACCACCCCCGCACCCTCCAGCACGCCGGTTCTCAGAGGAGCTCTGAGGACAGCTGGTGCTCCGGCTCCGATCCAGAGCTGTCTTCTGACGAGGAAAGCGACCGCAGCGCCGCCTCCAGCAACAGGTAAATCCCACCGTTTTTCGAGCGATCGGTTTCAAAAGTCGAAGCCTGTAAAGTCTCGTTAGATCGGGGTCGAAAATTCCGGATCGAAGCGGGATGGAATAATGCGGGTAACAGCCGGGACAATTGGGCCTAATGGCGATCGAGGCGAGCGAGCGGTGCTTCCGAAAATAAAATTTAAAAAGTAATAATTAACGACATGCGGTTCGTTGGCTTCGTTAAGTCGAGAACGCCTCGGTCGGTGGAGATAAGAAAAGCGAAAGCTGCCTTTTAAACGCGGTCGAAGAGCTGGAATCGGGCCAAAAGTCGCATTGGCGGAGATTATCGTTTGCGCCAGAAACAATCAATTATCGTAATTACACGTTTTACCATCTTCCAGTTCCGTTCGATGGTATTGTTACTGCTGAATTTTCTCAATTATCCGGCTCGACTAAGCACCGACTTTCGCGAATTCGCTCGCTTTTAAAACATCGATTATGCACGTCAATGGTTCGAGATGTTCGAGAACTTCGATCTTCCCTGCCTGCATGCTTGCATACATAATTAATGTTTAAATTGATTTAATTGGTCACCGAATGCAAGTTGATTTATTAACGGTAATTCCCGGCTAATCGAGAGGTGCCGTGAAAGCTTCTCGGAATATTTATCGAGCTTTTACGATAGCCTAATCGGCGCCCGCCCGAGTGAAAAAACGGGTTTTAAGCAACCGATTCTGTTTGTTCGTTTGCAGGAGTAATGGACAATTCAGAAGCACGTTGAACAAAGCTCGAACGTTGTGCGATAAATGGCGGGGAAGTGGAGGAATCGGCTCGAACCGGCTGTCGTTGGACAGCTCGTTGCCGGTGGACACTTCCCCGCAGAATCACGGCAGATTGTCGAGGTGGTTTTCGATAAGAAGGGGCAGCAACCATCAGTACGACATCGAAAATGTGGACGTTCAAAGGACGCCCACCGGCCAAAACAAAATGCCACAATTACCAGAAGTAAGTCACTGATGTAACTCTCTATTAATCTTCTCTAAACCAAACATTATCCCTTCTATAATCACGCTGAAATCTTCATCTTTCCATTTTGTTATTGCAGTATTCCGCACAACAAAAACTGGAGGTCAGTTGAGTTAAAAAAAATAATAATTTTATCGACTTGTATTGTTTGAATAGAATCGTAGTTTGCAATCGAGATTTACAACGTAAAATCGAGCTTCATTAAAATTAAAAACATTCTTTAGGTGGAAGAAGAAGTGGGATTCCATTTCTCCAGTTGCAACTCGTCGCAGAGGCGGCAGCTGCCGCCCAGCCTGCCGCCGCCGCCTCCCAATTTGACCCCCTTACAGTTGAAGCGCAGGATGATAGTGTCCGCCATCGTGCACAGCGAGAACTCCTACATAGCCACGTTGCAGAGGCTGGTCAATGTAAGTCTCCAAACTCCTTGGAGTTTATATTTCAATCGGTCGTTTAACAGGATTACAAAAAGCCTTTGGAGGAGAGCAATCCGCCGGTGTTGAGCGGCTCGAAAATCCAAACGCTGTTCCACAAATTGCCGGAGATACTTCAGTGCCATACGTTGTTCCGCATCGCCCTCGCCGAGAGCGTCCGGAATTGGGACAGAGACGAGAAGATCGGCGACGTTTTCGTCGCCTCGTTCTCCAAGGCCATCGTTCTGGACATCTACAGCGGATTCATAAACAACTTCTCCGTCGCCATGGACCTGGCCAAAATGGAGGCCAAGCGGAAATCCGCGCTGGCCGATTTCTTGAAGGTGAAGCAAATCAGCTCGCACGATCGGCTGTCGTTCTTCGGGCTCATGGTGAAGCCGGTGCAGAGGTTCCCGCAGTTCATCCTCTTCCTGCAGGTAAATACACGCGCCCTATTTCTAATTACATTCTTAACCGTCGGATTCACTCTCAAGGATCTTCTGAAGTACACCCCGCACGGCCACCACGACAGGATGTCCCTGCAACTGGCCCTCACCCAATTGGAGTCTCTCGCCGAGATGTTGAACGAAAGGAAACGCGAAGCCGAGCAGTACCAGGCCTTCAAGGAGATGCTGAGGAACATCAGCGGAAAATTCTCGGTGAGGCCTTTATCCGACAGCAACCGGTACCTCCTGAGAGAAGACAACGTCACGCAACTGGTGAGTACCCTTAATAGCGTGATATGTTCATAACCTAGCCTCATATCTCGTCTTGGTCTCCACCAAGGTGGAACCAGTAGGGAACGAATATTATTAATGTGTTGTTTCTAGGACTACAGCCAGAACGGCATGATAACCAAAGCGAAAAGCCGCCGGCTGCTGCTGCTGAACGACCTCGTCGTCTGCGTGGCGGTCGCGTCTAAGTCAGCTGATGATTTCAGCAACAACGAAAGACTGAGCCTGAAATGGACCCATCCGGTGTCGGATATCGAAATCCAGGACACCAGCGCTTCGCCCACATTGAGCAGATTGCTGACGTCGCCGCACCCGAAGGGCGGCAGCATCAAATCGAACGGGTCGTTCGACGGCACCCCGCCGCAGGAGGCGAACAATTTGTGCGCGGAAATGAGCAATCTGATGCACGACTACGAAGTCATGAGCAGGATAAACGATTTGACGGGTAAGCGGTGCGCGGTTGCCATTCGTTCGGAGTTTATTGGTTTGGTTTCAAGGGCAATTAAGAGGCGCTTATAAGGACGTGAATCTCGACAACACGCGCAAGATCCTCCAGCAAATCCAAGGGTCCATACAGCAAAAGGACGAGGAGATGGCCTGGATGGATTCCTGCTGTTTGCAGCTGGTCGTGCGCGTCAAGGGCAAGGAGGAGACGTTCACTTTCCAGACGGACAATCCGAACATCAAGAAGGAGTGGATCACGGAACTGAGGCTGGCCCAACTGGCGCTGGATCCGAACAATTCGCCCGCTTGGGAAGTACCTGAACAGGAACAGAGGCCGTCGACCAAGATGCCGCTGTTTGTGAAGTCGCAGCCGGTTTACACCTCACAGCATCAAACCGAGGTACATTACATTAAATCATCATATACCATTATCTACTGCGGTGTTTTCTTAGGTGCGCTGTGGTTGTTACTACACTGTAACTTTACCGAAAACAGCGAAACGAAGGCACAGGACGCAGAGTTACTTGTGGGTGTGCACGACGGACGGCGCCAGCAGTCATATATCCGTGCTGGCCCAGCATCACCAGCAGGCCGGCGTTTTGAAGGATCTGATGACCTTTTCGTTGGTCGAAACGCAAATTACCGCCATGGAATTCGTCAAAGGTACGTTATTTCGCTGTCGTGAACTACGCAGGATTTGGAAATTATGGGTTTGTTGTTGCAGGAGCGCCACCGCCGTGTCCCAATCTGGCCACCGATACCGTGTGGATAGGAACGGACAGACACAAATTGTTGCTCTACGCCGCCGACGAGCCGGAAAAGCAAGAAGAACTAGCCAACATAACCGTCTCCGACGTCATTATGCATATTAAATATCACTGTGATAACGTGTTCGTTGCCCTCGCCAACGGAACGCTCTGTGTATATAGAAAAAGTCCCATCGATGGTGCTTGGCTCGTCCAGGAGCCGATAATTTTGAATTTAGGTACGTTCCATCGCCGACGATAAAGGCTCTATCTGACGCTCTATTACCCGCAATTACAGGTACGGATCACGTTTCTTACCTCCTTCCGATCAATCTCTCCCTGTACGCCGCGTGCGGCAAGAAAGTGTGGGTGTTGAACGGCGTCACCGGCGAAATCCAGAAGAGTTTCACGATACAACACGAGAATTTCGGCAACGTGAATCTCATGGCGCACAGCGGCATCGGCCTGTGGATATCGCAGAAAAACTCGAGCACCATTTGCCTCTATCACACCGAAACGTTCAAACATCTCCAAGACATCAACATAGCCTCCATCGTGATGAGGATCAACGGCTCCTTGGGACCCAGGGACTCCTTGAACAACAACCGAAGCGTCGTCCACGTCACCGCTCTATTGGCTTGTAAAGGATTATTATGGGTAAATTCGATTATTTTATAGAGTGTTGTTTGTATTTAATTTCTAATTATTTGCTAGGTGGGAACTAACGTTGGTAGAGCTTTAACTATACCACTGCCGAGGTTAGAAGGCGTGCCGATAATCAGCGGACGAGTCAACATTTCCTACCACGCGCATTTCGGATCGATTACATTCCTCCTGGCACTGCAACCAAAGATTTACTCCGCCAACAACGGATCCTCGAACAAACCCGCCGGCAAAGAGGACGCCAAGCAGGAGCCCGAAAGCCTCGACAACAGCTTCGACAAACCCGACGACAGCCCCGGCAAACCCCGAATGGAGAAACAGCTCTCCGACAGTTCGGTGCAGAGCGTCTCCGCCAAACTAAAATACCTAGCCAGCAGCCCGGTGGTGCTTCGGAAGCGTCGCAGCAAAGAGAACGACCTGGCGAGGATCTCCAAAACCCTACCGAGAGGTAACGAACACCGTCCCCGTCGCAACGAAGCTAACCGATTGCTCGCAGGTTTGGGCGCCGGCGCGTCCGCCTTCTCCACGTCGAGCACCTCCTCGCAGGGTTCCGGCGACACCAACAACGTCTACGGCCTCTACAGCGAGCTGATGTACGTGAAGGACTACGAGCGCGACGAGAACATCCTCACCGATCCGGTGTACGAGTCGCTGAGGCGCAGCGATCCCGAGCTGGCGGCCATACCGAACAAGGTGAGCACGCTGGACAGGCGGCTGAAGATGAAGGTGTCGCGGCCGCGGTCGCTGGACCTGTCCAACTGGTCGGTGGATTCGAGATCGTCGAGCCTGTGCACGTCGTCGGGATCGGAGGAGAGCATGGCGGTGCGGTTGAGCAACATGCGCAGCGTGTCGAGGAACAATTCGAACGCTTCGAGGCAGCTGAACGGTGTTAGTGAGGACGCGGAAAAGGAGCCGGTGGCTACCGATAAAGAGGCCAAAACGAGGACGTTGGCCGGCGCCGGTAAGGGGAAGAGCAAGAGCAGCAGCTTCGATAACGGCAGGAGGACTGTTATAACGTTGATGGGCGGTAGGGGTTACGTGAATTACCGGCAGCCGTGCTGTCAGGCCGATAAGTTGAAGGCCTCGAATGCCGGTAAGGAGGTGAATTGTAACGACGCCCACATTGTTATATGGGAGTTGAAATTGTGATGTGTTTAGGACAAATGTTTATCGGTAAAAACGTTATTTGTATAATGAAAATGTTGTTTGGTAGGTAAAAGTAATGAGACCAGTGACAAACTCAAAGCATTTATGATACCTAAAATTATATGAATATCGAATGTTTTAGAAAATAACGTTTTTCCATTAACAAATGTTGGAAAATCCAACCGAGGAGTGTTTAATTTATTGAATAAAGTTGGATAAAATTCTATTTTTCCTCAGTTTACCATTCAATATTTCTAAGCCTCCGGGTAATAAAACATTCAGTATATCTTTGGTTGGATGTTCCAGCATGCAGTATAAATAAATGTGTACTCTAGGTGGTATATTGTAATTTTAACACGATATTTGTTAATATAATATTTTTATGGCCTATTATAAGAATATAAAATTATTTTTTAATTTATTACGTTTTTAGAGAAACTTTTCTTAATTTATTTTTTAAAAAGATTTTGGACGATTTCATCACAAGCCGGCCCCCCACCTTTATATATTTGTATATTTTATATCCTACATGTCTCTGTTATTATTTCGAAATAGTTGCATGTTTAATGAATATAATAAATTTATTATTGTTCACTGTGTTATATCAGAGCATATATTGAAATAAATGGAAAATCTACTTACCATTTTATTGCTGAATGATCGAAGATCCGAGGCCATTCCTTCTACCTGTTTGGGACGAAATTAACAAATTTGCTTAGAATAAATTCACAAACTTTTACTTCATATACAACAATTAACAATTTAATTCGGGCCGTTCGTCAACAATAAAAACTAATACGAAATAAAATATTCGTTTTAATAAATCAATTTCAACTAATACTTAAACATCTATTAGGTAATAATCTTATTTACAAATTTCCTAACTAAATATTAAAAAATAGCAATTTGGGGGAGTAATTTCGATCGAAATTCAATCGAACCGAACTAAATTTGCAATTAATTCGGTTCGATCAATGAGATGGATTAACAAGAAGAACAATCGTGTAAAAATATCAATTTTTTTCTCGCGGAAACAGAAAAGTTTTCCTCGTTTCACAAAAATTTATACACCTAAATGTTACTTTGGCTGTGCAAAAGTTAATTTTATAGACTGATATGTAAAAATACATATACAATAATTACAGGCGTTATATACAGGGTCGCCCAAGCTGAAGAATATCACACTAATGGGCTTCCCGTTGATGTCGGCAAGAAATCGAAGAATTTTGAATCACTGGTATAAAATTCTTTGAGATTTCTCTAAGACACTGTTTGAAGATTAGACCAAAAAGTTTTGTATTATTTTTTTTAAGTATTTTGTAACATAACATTCCTAGATTTTTTTATTTATAAATGGCACAGACAATAATTTACATTACAAAATACGCGTTATAAAATCTAGAAGGCACTCCGCAAATCTGGACTCGAAATGTACCTTCAAAAAGAACTATTTTTTCACCAAAATAAAATCAACGCAAAATTCAATAAATAATTAAATTTTAAGTACTTGTTATCAAAATATAGTTTATAACTTATACATATATTCGTACTTTTTGAAGGTACGCGGCATTAAACATTTAATTTATGGTAAATATGTACATCGGCTTCCTTAAAAATTTACAACTTTTTTCACAAGCCTTCATTCCTTCTACAAACTTAACATTTATTTTCAATTTTCAGCGATTTTTAAAATTTTATACGTAAAAATCAACAAAATAAATTGTACCAAAAGATGATTGACATTGACAGTCAGGATAGCAGCTGTCAGGAACATCTAACAAATTTCATCGATAAAATCATTCGTTCGCCAATATTTTTTAAAACAAAATGAGTCGTCAATGTTTATAAGCTAAATTAAAGTTTAAATCTCTATACTACAAAATGTACAAAATATATTCTAATTATTCAGATCACCGAGAAATGCTACGAGTTTTTTGTGTATTTGGAAAAAATAACTCGAGTGACATCTGTCATGTTGACTTATGCAGAATCGATTTTTAACCGATTTTGTTGTTTCATGCATTACGTCAGCACGACACGAGTCTTAAATGTGCGTTAAAATAATTAACATGCAATGAAAAACAAAGAAGATTGTAAATAAATAAACGTATCCAAAAAAAAAACAAAGCTATCCAACAAAAAAACCGTTTTTTTTAAACAGGCAGTTTTCCACAAAATCACTGACTAGCAAATCGAAATTCGGACTCGAATTTTCCCAACATCTCTCCACACAAAAAAAAAAAAACCAAAACCTGAATAAAAAAAAAATCGCACCGCCGCCAACGCGGACTCCTCTCATCCCTAAATTGCACCGCTCTGCCACCCCCGACAAAACCACCCCTAACGAAATACAAAAAACTCAGTCCTTCGTCGGAACCCCTTCGTCCGCCGATCGATCTCATTCGTTCTTCTGCTGACAGTAGAGCTCCTTCAGCGACTTCAGCTCGTCGATGAGCGCCTTGTTCTGGTTCTCCAGCACCGCCACCCGGTTCTCCAAGCACTTGATGTACTCCTTCTTCTTCCTGCGACACTCGCGCGCCGCCTCGCGGTTCTTCAGCAACCGCATCTCGCGCTTGCGCGCCTGGTCCTCGCCCCCGCTACCCGAGATATTCCCGCTTTGCGCCACCACTGCGGACATTCGACAAAAAACCCTTCAGTTAATCCTCTCAAAATTACTAAATATTCGATAGAAATATTACATGCTTGGTACGGTAAGAGGTAGGATAGAGTTGGAGAGAGTAGGGTAGCAGGAGGCAGTAGGGAGGAGTAGAAGGAAGTAGGCAAAGGTAGAGAGAGGCAGAAGGGAGTAGGTAGAGGTAGGGAGAGGCAGAATGGAGTAGGTAGAGGTGGGAAGGGGTAGAAGGAAGTTTGCAGAGGTAAGTATAAATAAACGTTTGAACTGACCGGGTACGAAGAATTCCTGTCCTTGGGCGTACTGGACGATGGCTCCGCCTGCTGTGGCGTTGGTCATCGTTAGGGTTTGTATGCCCTGGCCGCCCTCCCCGCTAGTAATTTGAAGGGCCGTGGCGGGCAGAACTGCAAGAGAAGAACCTTCGTTTGTACAACGATCATCGATCGAACAAAGTCAAAGAGAGATTTCTTATGTAAACTATTGTTAGTGAATAGAGTGCTAGTAGCTAATAGAGCATTTGGCTAGCATGAATCGAATATTACTAACTAGAAAAAAATAAAAGGGGGGAGAGAGAGTTAGGTTAGCGTGCGGTTAAGATACGTGACAGGCCAACCACCGATCGATGAATTGCGAGACCTGTCCCCACTGTAGCACCAACCAGAATCGATTACTGTTTCTTCGTACGAAAACTAACCTGTGTGGTATGGGATAGAGTGAGAAGACAGCTCACTATCTGCTTCTGATGAAGTCTGCTCGATTTTTGTCTCTGTGAACATCATAGAATTCAGTGTTTTACAATGGTACAATGTTCACGTCATTTTTGTAGAAGGCTTCCCAGTTTTTTTGTGTATGATAAAGTGATGCATTGTTTGTAGCAAAATGGGAAACCTTTTCGAAAAAATCTAATCGCTAAGAAGAGTGATTTTACTATTAAATTGTAATTAGATCTTGTGATTAGCGAGAGATTTTTTTTTGGTTTTGACAAGCCCATTGTTTAAGATTTTTCTGTAAATCCCATACCACAATAGACTATGTCCTAATGTAACATCTTTACAACAAAATGTATACTTATTCGAACATGCATTAATAAATGAAACTTTTTTTTATATATACAGTAAAAAATTCATGCTCTGTATAGACTACAGTTTATAACAAAATAAATATATCTGCGGCTGTCAAAATGCTTAAGCTGCAAAAATCTACAGCAGTACAACAACAACAAAAAATAGCCGAAGATACACTCGATCTTTCGCGCAATATACTATATTTCATCATAACTTCTCATGCAATTTTCATTAAAAATTAAATCAGCGAATTGTATGTACCTACTAACAGAACAATATCCACTTAACTAAAAAAAAAATCATAGAAATTTGGCTTTAAATGTTATCAACAAATTCGAAGGCATGCATAAAAACATACCAGCTATCTCACCCCCTCCAAGATCATTTAAAATCTTCCTATAAGACGGCCTTCTCGTCAACAGATCCCTGCGCTTCTTTGGAGATTCCTCTTCCGAAAAACTGTCGCTGTCTCCGGCTTCCACTACCTGCAAAGACTACACCGATTATTTCTCTAACAATAACATTAAGCGCAAATATGTCAATCCAACGAGTGGAACAAAGAACGATTACTAACACAACAGTGGTTAGAGTGAGAAAATTGCAATCTCATAATGACTACGCGAGTCTTTGTTACACTCATACAACTTAGCAGTTATCTGTAACTTACTCGTAACGTTTGTAAATTCCCCTGCGTCGTTTGTATCACGGAATTCGGTTTACTGCTGACCAATATGACGTTCCCTTTGCTCAACATAGGCTGTAGATTCGTAGCTGTCTGTATGACCGACTGTTGGTTGGGCTGGATAACACTTTGAACCTACAACAGAAGTATTTTTACGTTCCGTGAATGTTCCGAGCGCAAGAAAAATATGTTCTACGTTCTACGATAGTCTAATTTGACCCCAGGTTCATGCCATGCCAAAATAGTTTGCATTTTAACATGGTAGTTTGCACTACAAGAGCATGCTAATTAATAGAAGAAACAGTTTAGTAGATCAATCTGCTCTAAATTAGATTTGCTACTGGAGTAACCGGAGTATTAGAATGCAAACTAAAGAGTTGTAGAGAGCACAGAGGGGCGATCGGACCCCTACCTGCGCTTGAGTTTGGGACGGTAGGGTCAGTTGAACAATGTTAGTTGCCGTCACCAGATGGGGCTGATTATTAGAGACGCCTACCGAAGACGGTATGCCCGATTGGGGATCGGGCGATGGGGCCAGAGGGTCCACTTGTCGTATCTCCTCTTTGATGGCATCCATGGCCTAGTAACGGAGACCTGCAATGTAAAATACGGTGATACTTTTCGAACATCGCGGTAGGTTTTTTTTTATAATCGTATCGTTGTTTGACAACAAATATTTTTAAATTTTATTGGTTGTTAGATAAGCGGCCCGTTTCGTTATCGCCCGAGCGAAAAAAAAATGCATGTAAACGTAAATATTTTGTGCATTCGGAAATTAAATTTAACGAACAATGTAGTGACAGGAGCATTTGAATTTCAAATTAGATTCACTTAAAATTTACAAACCTACTAGGTTTTTGTTCGATTCCGATAAAAGACACTAATGTTCATTAGTTTCTAGAACAAGGTCAAATTGGAAAAAAAAATTTCAGGTTGGACTGAACAGAGTGTTATAAAATACCAATTGACAAGGCGAGTAGTTATTTGTTAATAGATTTTTTATTCTCCTATAAGTGCACAAGAACGAATGTAATGTAATGTAACAGAAGTCGGATAATTTTCAAACAAGCGCCTGATGATGTAATTATTTACATAAACAAAATAAATGCGCAAAACTGAAGCATTATTTAAAACAATCCCGCAGAACGTCAGTAAAAAGCGACAACATTGAGGTTAAGGCAACAGAAAACCATCGAAAAATCGAGCGGAGCCAAACAAAATATTTAAAAACCAGCCAGGTCCCTGGCAATGAAAAATTCACGCGAAATTCACGGCACAAAACGGCGACCAAATCTAAATTTAAATATACGCACTGTTAAGTATGACGCCATATTCGCCAGTAATACAGCAAAAAGCGGCTAAATAGGCACGATTAGAACCACCCGGACCGTCGACAAATCCGAAAATCTCGAACCCGTAAGGGTGCCTGTCCCATGTCAGCGTGTTATTATTCTTCAGCTGAGTACTTACCAGTTACGTATTCGTCGTCACCAAGTTGCTGCAATAGGAGTGGGTAATCGGGAGATACGTAGTAGCCACGTCAAAATTTTAGGGCGGTCGTCACTGGACGAGTTCGGAACACAAACACAAGTGCGCGTCACAGCAATGGCGCCCGGAGCGCGATACACGCGTTCTCCCCTCTTCGCAGGATCGGCCTGGCCCCGTTTTACGCGCCCGACGAAACCGAATTTACCTCTATTCTAACTTCTAAATGCGTCGCAATCGCTAAATAAGTTTTAGTGATGACGTGCTAATGACGTTGTACGATACAATTCGACAGCTGACGTTTCGTTATGACGTAATCGAAGTTCTCTTTTTTCCAAACGGCCTCTTACTAGTACTTGCGTCCAATCAGCTCATTGAATTACCAACCACTAAAATTAATTCAATTAGGCAACAAGAAGTTACAAACAATTATTCTGAGTACAACCCTGCCGAGTAAATACTTTATTATAACGCAATGTAAAAGCCCATTTACTTACATTATTTACAAATTGCTCGAATGAGCCCCTACGCTGAGCACACGGGCTTAGCGATTTATTAATACACTCTTACATTAAACAATCGCCTGGAAATAAACTTTAATTATAATTTAAAACAAACAAACGTCCGTAAACAATCCTTCGCGTTATGCAACACGTTTGACATCTGTCGATTTGATTTAAACAAATTGCGTTTTTACTGAAAACGAGTGAAAATATCGCATGGCAATTTCATTATCTCGTCGAAGCAAAAGGTCGTGGAGTTTGTGAAACTTGACCGAAGTGCCCTCCGCACGTTGTACGCAACGCTGTGGCTGCGCTTACGTCATCCCAAGGTTTTCAATGACGTCATCGTGATTCATCTGGAATAACAAGTTGTCGAAGCGCGAAGGTTTGATTAGCTGACAAGAAATTATCGTCGCTTTTATCCGATATTGATAACGATATTGACTTGACGATGTCGTATACAGAACGGCATCATAATTACTTGTACCGATGAATAGTAATTAGAATAATTGTCAATTAAATTGGCACGTGTGCAGGTAAAATTGGAAATTTAAATTGAAATATGCGTGTTTTTTGTTAGTTATGATTGATGTTGGTGTAATTATTGTGTGGTAATTTTAAATTTAGTTTTTGTTGAATTAATTTGGAAATTTTTCACAGTAGCGACATCTATTGAGTAATTTTTGAATCAAAAAGTCGATATTACAGGAAACCTGCATTGTTGTGTTGCGATTTCACGATAGATGACAGTTCAGTCAAATAAATTTAAAAATCGTTTTCTACAATTTATACTAATTGTAAGTTCAAAAATTAGTTGTGTTTTATTTAGTATACAGTAATTTGGGTCTTTAGTTTGAAAATAAAATAAAGTTAGCTCCAAATTCTACTACATAAAAATGTGGCTATAGAAAAAATATAATTTTTACTGAGCGAATAAGCAACAAACAAAAATTAGAATCGACTCTATTTGGCTTATTTTGGCTATGAAACGTCCGAAATTCGATTATTGAGTTGACCCCGACAAACACGAAAGGAAATTGTGCTGGTTTTTGTCCCATTTTCTAAACAAAAACCGCCGTTTTGTGCAGACGCGACGTTATGAAAATTAATATGCGGTCACGGAATATACAAATCAAGCTCTAATAAAAATATTTAAGTGGGACAAATAGCGAAATTATGCGATTCGAAAATAATACCACACACTACAGGACGTACTCATTGTTGAGCTCAAAACAATCTATTAAATATTACACTATACAGGTAGATGCAAAATTGCTTGCAATACGGTGTATATGGGTGTAACAAAGATAACTTCTATTGCTCTCATTTAAAGGAAAAAGAAAGAGCGATATTGTGGAATTGCAATTTTCTCACTCAAACCACTGTTATTTTTATAATACTTACCCATATACCTGGTTAGATTATGTTTAATTCCTTTAAAGTTCTCTACAACTAATTGGAAAAAATTCTTATGCGCATTATGATATAAAAATATTCAGCATAAAAATCGAGCAGGAATTTTCATTTCGCCCAAACCCTAATGACCCCAGGTCTTTTTTAATAACGGATATTAGAAGATTCGCAGGCTTGCTGCAAAGTGGAAAACCTGCTATTACTGCGAATAAAATATTACCTTAAACGCTGTTTTTGAGTCGAGAAAAATGGATTAAAGCGCCTTTAAAAAAAAAACGTTGCATGCAGAAAAGGCATTAAGGGAAACGATTTACTACTGGGTGTTTAAATAACATCATCAGAATCTTCATTTTTTAATAACTACTAGGAGTTTTCTTTCTTTCTATTAAGTAAATTTTTATCCTTACAATTTATTTACGATTTTGGTGAAAAAACACGTGCCATACTAATCGGAATTGATGTATCAATAAAGAGGTAATTTTTCCAAAGTCTAGTCTATACTGCATTGCATGTGAAACTTATCACGTGAAGGTTCCCTTCGATCCGATCACGATCGCTCGCAATCAAAATCTGTGCGAGCCTTTTATATTGCTCTATAGCTCTATTTATAAGTGATTTCGCACGTTCGAAAACCCTTATCCGAATTATACCGGGAGCATTCCGTATTTTTTATACCACGCTACTACAGAAGCGACGAATTTATAGATTGCAGTGTATCCAACGTTTCTCTTCTTCTATATAACATCTTTAGATCACATTAAATGCATTGAGTGTATGCAATAATATGTTAGTACAAGACTTATTGAATGCACCTGGTACATTCAGCCTACATGCAAGTGCCGATCTAGAGTGCTTCGATTTGGGTATAAAGGTCAAGGCACGGTAGATCGTTTGTATCGTGCAGTTTTCGGTATTTTATGAATCACTTTTTCGCGAAGCTTCGGTAAAAATGGTACATTAATGTGTAGATAAGTAGTTCTCTCATTCGGGTTGATTGCGGTTTAAATATTAGCAATTTCCCGCTTTTCTCACTTGCCTACGACCTGGTTTCCAATTCGGCATCACGAATCGCTAATTAGGGGGATGAATCACGAGGGTGGAAAAATCGCCGGCGCGAAATGTACATTTTTCGAAATAGTTGCATAAAATTTACAGCCGTAGAGCAATAAAATGTTGAAATCGTGCCGTTAATATTGTACATTGTTCTGCGAATTAAAATCATGCAACAATAAAAAAGTAAAAATAGTTTTGGTATACAGGGCGTGTCGATTGTGAGAAGCTTATTTACTAGAAAATGTCTAAATTTTAGGGGAAATGTTGGCAACAATGATTAGTTGAAAGTTGGTTTCCTGATACTAAATTTTTAAGGAACTAAATTTACTGTTTCTTGCACGTTTTTATTGGGATAATCTTATCTCTATAAAAAAAACCAGTATATTTTAAATTAACCACATGAGGTCCTGGAACAAACATTATCCTGTACATAAATTATACTTGGATTTAGGATAGCAAGACAGACACCCTTGGAATAAAATATCCATTTAAATAATGGATATTCCTTTCTATTTAGTAATCGCTAACGGTCATCGAAAAAATTCACGAAAGCGACAGAAAAATGCAAATTCTTACAAGCTTTGTGGCATTGACGAAAAAACATTCCTCGGAAATAACGAATTAATTTAGGCAATAAAATTAATCAAACAATTTTCTATACGCAAAGAAGTGAGAGATTTTGCTCAGCCCACGTCTCCAGTTATCCCAGTCGGTCTGTACACGATTTCAAAATTAATTTTAAAGCGATGCTAATACCCTTTTGCGCTTTACTTTGCACTATTTAACACCCCTCGGTTATTTTTAAAACATCGATTTCCCCATTGTGTGTTTACCACCCGAGTTCTCTCAACTTTGCATAATTATTAACACGAAAATCTATACCTACATTATAAGTTATACGCACGACGGTATTTAACAAGAAATAACAAACTTCCCAGCGACCCAAAAACCAAAAAAACTCCATCCGAACTTTTCCCCGTTCCCGATTCCCGACACCCCCTTTCGCCGAGCGAAAAATCTCCCCCTAATTACGAGAAAATCCCCGCCGCATGCGTGATAACGATCTAAAACACATTGCAGCTACCTATTCCGGAAACACCAATGGGGCGGCGCTGGGGTGGCGCCCCGGGGGCCGGGTGGCTCGCTAAAAGAGGCCAACGCCGCCCCGCCGGATTGGCCCGCAACACCGGCGCTCTACCAATAGGGGCGGAAATCCCCAGCGAAACCTCCGGAAAATTACATTCGAATTGTATCAAAGCACGCGGAACTTGACGTTATGTTAAGGGTTGTTATGGTGGGAAATTGTTGCAGGTATATTGGGGTTGGTGTATTGTTTTAAGTTGTGGAGATTAGGAGTTGTGCATAGGGGTGCTCGAGGGTAAATAATGTTTTTGTGTTAATAAGTTGCATTCGCCGTAATTTGAAGTGTTTTGTAGCGCGTTTGAATGAAGAGAATCCGCCATTATTTCGAGTTCGGAATTTACCGCCGAATTTTCGAGGAATTTTCACGGGAATAAATGCGTGGTAAACGACCCGTCGCTGTGCTGGAAAGCATCGCAAGTCAATACAAAAACGCAACAAGTATCCGCTGGGCATAGTAAATTTTCAGCCTTTCGTCACAGATTTTTGCTTCAGCACTTCGAATAAAGACCGGACGCGAGGACCTTCGGCCGGAAAACTCCGCCGATCTCGCGAAAATCCACCGGGAAAAATTCGCGGGATGAGGGCGCGCTAGAAGTTCAGTGTCAACATTACGGGAGGATTGATCGGAATAAATTAATATTAGTACGATGACCCGTCTTTATGTTAATTAGGAGATCGACCTGCATTTTGTGGCGGTTGTTTTGTGATTTTGCGGAAAACCGTGCAGTGTTTTGCCTAGCATGGTAAGTACCGTATTTTATTATTGTTAGAAATGTATAATAAATTTGTTTGTAGTGTTTTTTGTTATCGCATTTTCATAGGTTCGTTGATTTTGGTGTTGTTGATTCGTTAGTTCTTGTACATCAGTTTATGTGGATTCCCAAGAATTTTTTAAAAGGGTTTTAAAAATTGTGTTTTTATTTAATTATTATCTTGCGCTTTGAATTTCATGGTGATATTCAAGTAAGTTTTGAAAAGAAAATTTTCCAGAATATTTAATTTATTTCTATTCTTCAAATTCAACCAATAAATTTTGCCAAACTTGTTAAATAACCGAATTTATTTTTTATAGTATCAGAGAAGTAGATTAATTAATCATTCCTTCCATACATAATTTAAAAAATGTACTATTATTTTTCTTATATAAAGATAAATTAAATAATAACCCCCTATAAAAAGTCAATAGATATTATTAAATCATTTTTTATATCTACTACATTTTATCAACTTTTGCACGCTTTTTATAGTACACCATATAACATTTTCCCATAATAAACTTCACCCCAATTCCCCATACTTTTACTTTCCTCCGACCCGTTACCGGTGATTCCCAGAGGAATTTTCGAATTATCAATTTTTATAGAAATAATCCGTTTCCAAAAATAACCGAATATTAATATGCTATTAGAATAAAAATTTAAAAGTAGGCCAAAGCGACATGAAAGATTTTTATACATAGCCTCAAATAACATACTCATTAGACCCAATTCCATTACATTTTTTAAATACTACATTTTATCAACAATTGCAAGCTTTTTACAGTACACCATATAACATTTTCCCATAATAAACTTCACCCCAATTCGCCCATACTTTTACTTTCCACCGACCCCCTTCAATCTAATTTAACGCCATCGATTCCCGCCCCCAGTCCGTAGCTCCATCTCGCGCGGGCAGCCGCATGCAGCACTACGAAGACGACGACGGCGACGCCGACGCCGCCGCCGACGAAGAAACCGCCCGGCGCGCCTCCGCCAACGGCCCGCCGCCCCCAGAGGGCGCCCTGCCCAACGGCGCCGACTACTTCGAGCCGCCCGAAGACGACGACGACGACGAGAAGCCGCCCGACGGCGGCGCCGCGACGGCCAGTTCGAATCGTGACGGCGCCGCGAACGCTCACCGCCCCACGCCCGCCGCCGGCAACCACAGGAGCCGACGCAGAGGCGACACCGACGAGGAGGACGAGGTCGGGAACGGTAACGGTGAGTTTCTCTACACCCCGTAGAGGGCGCTTATTACACGCCCGGTGCGCACTAAATTTGGTTTTCGTGTCAAGGTCGCGCAGGTTAGGTATCTCGTTATACCGATAGAGCTGTAGGTACATAAATGTTGGTGTAAAGGTGAATTGTGGGGTGGTTTTTCAGGTGGCTACTGGCGTTCGCAGGCGGCCTCCAGGCCCGGATCGCCCCCGATGGCCGATAACGCCAGCGATGCGTCGTCGATGGTGCCCGTAGCGGCGCCGGCGCGGCCGAAAAGCCGCGCCGAGATGACGATGACCGCCAGCCGGTACTCGAATTTGTCGTACTGGAGGGCGAGACGGGTGATTTTCTACAAGAACGGCGATCCGTTTTTCCCCGGTATAGAGTTCAGGTGGGACTATTTGGCGCTATATAAAGATTGATCGGGGAAATTGATGTAGGATTTATTCATTCAGGTTCAAACCCGGCAGGGATATAGTCAGTTTGGAGTCGCTTTTGGACAAGTTATCGTTGAGGATGGATCTTCCGCGGGGCGCTAGATATATATTTTCGATGGACGGGGATCGGAAGTACCGATTGGATGAGTTAGAAGACGGGGCTTCCTACGTTGTGTCTTCGTACAAAACATTTAAGGTAAGAATTAACGAAAAATTTCACCTGTTATGCTTCGTTTTGTGTGTAGCGTTCGGGAAGATGAACGAGCGAATAAACTAAAAATTGTATTGGTTAAATGCGATGAGTGTGGTTTTCCGGAAACTCCGCCTTTATTGATATGCTGCGAAAGGGTTGCTAAGGGAAATATTTTGAAACTGTGCGAAGGGAGGAGTCAAAACAAACGCCAGGAGGTGACAAATGTGTATGCCAATAACAATTCGTTACCGGTGATTCCCAGAGGAATTTTCGAATTATCGATTTTTATAGAAATAATCCGTTTCCAAAAATAACCGAATATTAATGCGCTAGATTAAAAATATAAAAGTAGGCCAAAGTGACATGAAAGATTTTAATACAAAGCCTGAAATAACATACTCATTAGACCCGATTCAATTACGTTTTTTAAAGCTCATAAGAAACAGTTAGAATGCGATATTTGCCTCGAGACGATAAAAAAACCAATCTAACAGAGACTGAAGGAAAACTCACTCGACAATCGGACCGATTAGCGGGAAAAACTGCTACGCAATATCGAAAGGCGAAATGAAAGTGAGTTTCGTATTTGCATGGTGAATCGATTTTTCCCTCCGTTTAATCGCCAAGACGGTCAATTAAGCCGGGCAAAGTCCATTCCGCGATCGAGGAGCGGGAGTTTTCCCTCGATAATTCCCAACATATTCATTTCGCCAAATAAACACACTATACAGGGTGTTCTAAAATGATATACTAATATTTAAAGGGGTGATTGTTGCACCCATTTTAAGAAAAAACTTAACTTTACAGGGTGTTAAAGTTTTAAGAAAAAAATCATGCATGAAGTTTTTTCCTTAAAATAGGTCCGGGAATCACCCCTCTTAAATATTACCATGTCGTTTTGGAACACCCTGTATATGTAACTAAAAACTAACCGGTAATTTTTCGAAAAATAAACACATACGAACAAAAACGGCGGTAATTCCTGCAAGATTTACTGCCTCGAATAAAATCTCAGGAATTTCTCGAGGGTGTCGTAAATATCCCTTTACGTCTAAATCGAATTAAGCGCTAAACACCATTAAATTAAATTTATACTCGTTTAATGTAGTGAGTATATCGAGCATGCAAAATTTTATTTTTACCGTAAATACTAAAAAAAAAATATACATGATCCCACCGATTGTTTATTTTTTAAATGTAACACATCGTATAAAGATATATTATTACCTGAATTTAGGCAACTCACCTGCCACTTATTATTACTTTAATAGAGGGTTTGACCAAACTTTTTCCACGAAAGAAATCCCGACCTTGTTCCACATAATTCCTCATCATCGATGGCGCATTTTAATGCGTCTCGAGCAATCCGGCATAATACGGCATATTATTATTAATTGCCGAGAAAATTGTTGTATATCATGTCGAAACGTCCTTCGCGGGCTAAAAAATGTTCCCGAACGGGCTCGTTTAATGTCCGAGCGGACCTTGCTAGCGAGGTCCCGAAAACAAACACCCGAAATATAAATGCGCATATTAAATATATTCGCGTTCGTTTAGGATTCATATTTTAAAAATCGATGTTTGACGAATTCGGCACGCGAGAACAAAATTAACGAAATTACTGCTAATTTATGCGCTGCTGTATCACAACATATTTTATCTAGTAGCTGTAGATAAGCGCGCTGGTTTTCTGTACTTAGCTATTCCCGTCGGTCTGTAGGTATTATAGTTTATTATAACGAAAACTGTTTGTGTTCATTCACGCGTGTGCATGCTGGATATATTTTCTATTTTCTTCGGAATTCTCGACCCTAATTCGTGGCCGGCGAGCGGTCACTTTTACTGCGCCCTACTTTTCCAGTCTGCCCTCCGATTTTCCGCACGCTATTACCAATTTTCAGACGATTCTAACCTTGGCGACATTCGCGCTCTCGATTAATAGAGCGCAAAATTGATCAGAGAGGAAAAAACTGTGTCTAGAACTCCGACCCACTTTCCGCCGAGTTTTCGTCCTTTCGAAACGGCTTTTTTACATGAACCTGCTATTTAAGACACTACCGATTTATAAATTGCGTAAATTATATACTAGATAATTCTCACATCGATGGATAGAGTCACGAAATAATTTAAAGTAAACCGAAGATTTTTGTCGTGAATGTACACCCTGTAGGTACTTATTAATTTTAGTTCGAATGCATCTGGAATAAATCCGAACGAAAGGCATAAATCTACAATCCAATAACATTAAGGGCAGGTATTAAGGGTGCCGCTCCTTCGGTTAAATATCGAGCCAGACGAAGAATATATTCAAATTTTAGGTCAACAGTTTGTATGCAATGCAATCCAATAAGCGTATCGCACGATATGGAAAACAGAAAAAAAATATATCTCATTTTGCATACAAACATATTTTCTGAATTTATTTGTTCAATTAATAAGAAATAATGCGTGCTGGTATGGCGAGTGCAATAAGTTTCATTCGTAAGAAACGTTAGAAAATCCTGCTGTTTGTGGAAACGGCTATTTTTACACGACATATAGGCTCTTGTTATTGGCGGTAAAAGTTTTTAATGAAAGTTTTGTAACTAAAGCCGATAAACGAACGAAAATTTACGCGGCGCACGATACACACAACATTTATACAGGGCGAAACGAATAGCTCGTTAGGAAAATCCGCTTTCCAGTGAAATTCGAAAGTCCCTAAACAAAGCCCGAGAGTGAACAGGAAGCCAACTTAAAATTATGTTTCTATCTTTCTATTTCTCATGCATCTTCAAATTTTCACTTCTGTACATCCAAAATCTTTCTAAATGCTGCGAAAAATATTTTTTTTTATTTCAATTTTGACACTGTTTCTTTATTATTTTCAATAAAAAAGCAAGTTGGGTTAGATTGTAATATTTTGAGGCCCAGAATCTTTCCCTTCACTTCTGGACCGTTATTTACGGACCACCCTGTATATTTTTACTCAAAAATGTTTGGTATAAAAGTATAAACATTTAATACAACGAATTATTTATAAAATTACTCATCAAAATTAGTTTCCAAAAGGCATTCAACAAAAGACATTTTAAATAATAAATGGGCATCAGTGGCATTTCAACTATATAATATGCAAAACATTTTCGAGTAATATCCAAATTTAAAAGAGATACCCTGTAAGCGAGCGAGTGGTCGATCTCATGCCGGACGGGCCCTTCATAACCGGAGCGACCTTGAGGGTCCTTACGGCTCGTGTTTAGCGCCCCCTGCGGCCCCTTCATTATCGCAAATCACGCGGCACACGGCGGCTTATCAGCATAAAATCGTTCGCGCTGCGAAGGCGATCGCGGCGGCCGTTCGTCGTTCATTTCCAGTCGCGGTCGCTCTCTCGTTTCGTCCGGCCCGCTGGGAATCCTGGACGATCGTCCGGGATCGGCGCGTGCTGAGGTTTCGTCGCGTTTAATAGCAATAAGGCGTCTTCGGCGGGACAAATGTTCGATTTCGAGTTCGACGACGATACGACGTTCGCTGTGTTCACGGTACCCAACTCCATGGTGAGTCCAAGAATTGATAAAAGTTTTTAAAAAAATTGGTGAATGCGCCAGTACGCCTCCACCAATATTTTTTTTTGTAAAAATAGCGAAGGATCTGTAATCCTTTACCTTTTTACTTCGAAAATCCTATGATTTGTTTATACACAACTTCATCTATCATCAAAGAACATTTTTATAGTAAGTGGATGCGCTACTAAGCCTCCACCATTATTATTATTATTTTGCAAAAATGGTGAAGGAGCTATTACTCCTCTACCATTTTTATTAACTTAATATCCCAACCAGTTAGCATAAGAAGCCTTCTTCTATAGCGTGATGTGCTACACGGACGTCATAATATCGAAATTCGACCGCCGAAGGAATTATATTTTGCGGGGAAATTAAACGATGGCGATGAATATGTATGAGGGAAGTTTAAAAACACGCAGTAGTTTCATTCTGACAAATTAAAAACACCCATTTAGTGGGATTCGACATGACAGCAGCGGGAATATGTCGTTGTTGAATAAAGGAAAGTCCTGACCTAGACTAGGTTGTAACCCAAATGCATTTTTGATTAATTATTATGCTTGAATTTATAATGGGGCAAAAAATGTTTGCAAGGGAAAATACAATAACGCATTGCGATGGTATTATAATTACAGAGGCGGGTTAATAACTATTGGAATTGAATAAAAATTTTACTATGTAGCTATTGGAAATATAGCCAAAGAAAATGCAAAATATTAGAATCCACTTCTGGCCGCTGGGACTCCAAGTAGATGCAAAATATGCGGTGAAATTTGCTCTTTTCATCCGTCTATCGACGGCTCCTCGAACACCGGACGTCCTGGAATCAGAATTTATGCTCCCATTGCACGATCGACTGCCAAAACAACTGCGTCACGAGTGCAAACTCCCAAGTATACCGACCTTTAATCACAACATCGCATTACCAAAACCATCGATTCCTCCCAAGGTGAACGTCAATTCGAAATTTTCCATTCAAAACCCCGCCGATAATTCGGATATAAACGCACAATTTGAAATTCAAATAGCCATTATTACATCGCCGGTAATTCCCACTTCTTTAGCTTAGTTTTATTTTTGCCCAGGCGGCGAGTTACGGCAAGAAAAACGGCATCTGGTACGCCGCCCCGGGCGGCCAAGGCTGGAGCAAAGCGCCCAGCAGGAAGGCCTCCATCGTGGAAATGGACGCGCCGCCGCCCGGCGGCGGCCCCATCAAACCCAGCACCGGCCGAGTAATCAGAATCATCAACAACACAGACCACACCGTGCAGGTATACACCACCTTTCACTAATCCAAGCACCATCTAAACCATCGTTTCGCTTGCAGTGCCGCGTCCTGCTGAACCTGCGCACCAGCCAGCCCTTCGAGGAGGTGCTCGAGGACCTGGGGCAGGTGCTGAAGATGAACGGCGCCAAGCGCATGTACACGGTCTCCGGGCAGGAGGTGCGCAGCTTCTCGCAGCTGCGCAACGAGTTCGCCGACGTCGACACGTTCTACCTGGGGGCGGGCGGCGTCGGCGGCGCCGCGACGCCGGCCGTGATGCTGTCGCCGGTGAGGCGGGCGCGGTCGCGCGGGCCCCAGACCGCCATCGTCGAGGACATCAGCAAGCAGCGGCGGTCGCGGAGCAAGAGCAGGCCGCGGGCGCTCTACGCGCCCGAGAGCGAGATCATCAGGACTAATGGTGGGGTTAAATGACGCCCTCTGTATGCGGGGTGGTAATTAATTGAGTGTCGATGCTTTAGGATGTGATTGTTTGGATGGTTTTAAGAAGAAAAGTTTATATCAGTAGATATCCTAAATGTCTCAGTTTTCGAGTTGCAGGGTGTTATAGTTTTAGAAAAAAAAATGACTCTTTCTATCATAATTTTCTTATTACTTCAGATATTTTTAGGAAGTTTCGGTCGTGGAAGTCACTGGTAATAGTAGAAAATTATAATTGTTGACCTCAAAAAATGTTTTCCATGCATGGTGGGAGCCTACCAAATTTTAACAAATTATCAAAAGCAGTCTCAAAATGAACTTGAGAAAAAATTGTTTTGGTTTTTTTTTGCGAAAATGGTGCATCGTACGAAAGTAAGTCTTCTGACCAAATTTGCCCCAAAATAGATGAGGATTTTAAAAATAATTTTGGTTTTTCAGAAAAAGCAGTGGCGTACCATTTTTTCTTCAAACAAAATTACTGATGAAATTAAAAAAAAAATCTTATGCCTCTTAAAATGCTTCTCAATAACGAAAAAGTGTATACAAAACATCTATAGTAATAAGAAAATTATTATAGAAATTATTTTTTTCTAAAATTTTAACACCCTGTAGCTCGAAAACTAAGAGGTTTAGGACATACATTGATACAAACTTTTCTTCTTAAAATCACTCAAATATTCACATCCTGAAGTATAGGCATTCAATTAATTAACACCCTATAAAAATCTTTGTTCTTTCTAGATTACACTTTATTGGAAGTGTTGAAAGAAGAACCGGCTAGAGTGACAATTAAGGGCATGCGGCGCACTTTTTATCCTCCCTTGCATCACGCTCCGATGGATAATACGCCGCCGGAGAAGAAAATGGCCCTCGAATGGGTGTATCCTTATTGTATTTCCATAACAAATTATCAAATTTGTCAGATACTGCATCACAAGCTCGCCAGGTCGCTTTTTTTTTTGTTTACTTTCTTCGAGAAAAATGGCTCAAAGTCATGCGCTTGTAATTATGCAAATTGCATCGCGGTTGCTCCACTTTTTAGATTCATAAAACCGTTTAGTGGACTTTTAATCTGACGTTTAAATCTGTGCAATTATTTACATTAACTACAGCCCGACTTGTACAGCTACCTATAAGTTTACAGTTATTTTCATCGCACTGTAGATAAATATAATTAGCAAACTTTCGCTGATTTTCCTATCTCTACTATAATTAGCTTACACACTAACTCTGTTGGAAAATAATCGCAATAAATTACGACCTAAAATATTTAACTAACATTCGTGATACTCTTCGCGTGTCAATACTAATCGAGAAAAAACACAGCGAGTGCATTGAAAAATGCTAATTTCTATACCTCCAGCTTAAAGGAAAAAAACCCAATTTATTATACGAATTAAAAGCGTGCGTGCGATAAACGATTTTTCCCTAACGCTCTAATCCAGATACGGGTATAGAGGTACAGATTCGAGAAGAAACCTCTGGGTACTTCCCACCGGCGAGCTGCTCTATTTCGTAGCCGCAGTAGCGGTAATGTACGACAGAGACGAAGAAACCCAAAGGCATTACACGGGACATACCGAAGACATCCAATGGTGAGCACTTCAATTCTAATTGCGCAAGCTTCTGATAATCGCTTTAATAGACACCTTGTATACGAAACAAACGATTAATTTACATACAATTGTCTATATACAGCATGGAGTTGCATCCTTCCAGAGAGATGGTAGCGTCAGGACAAAGGGCAGGCAGGAACAGGAAGACGCAGGCGCACATTAGAATATGGAGTACTGAAACTTTGCAGACACTGTACGTGTTCGGTATGGGAGAATTCGAAGTCGGCGTATCGGCGGTGGCCTTTTCTCAATTAGTACGTCGGTTAATTAGTACTTATACAGGGTGGTGCGACCGAATTAATCGGTTGGTCCACCGTGTAATGGTTGTTTGTTGTAAGGTGTAATGAAATTGTTGTTTTTTTAGAACGGGGGTAGTTACGTTTTGGCAGTGGATGCCGGAAGGGAGAGCATTTTATCCGTATGGCAGTGGCAATGGGGCCATCTTCTAGGAAAAGTAGCCGTAAGTTACCCTTAAAAACAGCATATAAACTAGGCATTTTTCGCGGTTCCTTAATCACCTTCCTCCAACAATCGAATTTTTCTTACTTATTCCTTCGTTTCAGACCCTACAAGAGGAACTAACCGGCGCCGTATTCCACCCTTTAGACGACAATCTAATGATAACCCACGGCAAAGGCCACTTGACCTTCTGGAACCGAAGAAAAGACGGATTCTTCGAACGAACCGACATCATCAAACCGGTATATATATAAACATTCTACAATACATCCGCACAAACCTAGCGTCGCGACGTTGCCGCATTGCACTAATCATCCACGAATCCCGGGATATTCGCCAACGTTTTTTTCTCGCATTTCCAGCCGTCGAGAACGCTGATAACGTCGCTGCAATTCGAGCAGGACGGCGACGTCATAACGGCGGACAGCGACGGCTTCATAACGATCTACAGCGTCGACGCCGACGGCGCCTACTACGTGCGAATGGAGTACGAGGCGCACAACAAGGGCGTCGGCGCCTTGGTGATGCTCTCCGAGGGGACGCTGCTGTCCGGCGGCGAGAAAGACAGGCGAATAGCCGCTTGGGATTCGCTGCAGAACTACAAGAAAATCACCGATACCAAGGTGAGCTCGATTTAGCTATAGAGAAAGGGCGGCGAATTTTAAATTTTTATCAGCTTTATTTGTATTGAACAATTCCTTAATCGTTTAGTTAAGAAAAACGAGTAATAAAATTCTCCAAAAAAAAAACAAAAATCTTTGAAGTAAATGACATTTTCTAAAGTATATCAGTTTTATGAACTGTCAGAAAGTGAACATAATATGGACCACATCCAGATTTTTCCATTTCTAGAATATATATAATTGACTAATTCATATTCCAATTCACTCGGTGATGTTGATTGTCTCCCAAGTTTTTGGGTGGTGATATCATTAAGTGATTTGTTTTGGGTGTATGTTTTGGAAGCATTCAAAAAGCCCATTTTCTTTTCTCGTGCATTTTTAATTGCCTTCTCCATTGCGTTTTTTATCCCATGCTTGTCTGGTACTCTCTATTAGTTTTAGAAGCCATTCTAGAGCATAAATAAATTTATAGCTATAACTTACTCATTTTGAGATAATTATTTTTTTTCAGAAAATTGGAATATTATAGAATATTAAAACTTAATACAATTAATTGCAACAGAACTCACCTTTCTCATGGTCTTTTCCACTTTCACATAAAATAGTATTTTTTGGATTAAAAACCTTCCAACCTTCGCTAGAAAATTAGATCGCGCGTTGCAAAAAACTAAAAAAAGGCTGTCGTAAATATACTGCTCCACAAAAGTTAAGGAAGTTTACAAATATTGCGATTAATTTAAAAGTTGCAGGTTTTTTGATCGCCAAATTTAGTATGAATTGTAGAGGTAGTGGCAAAAAATCCACTCAGAGATGAGAGAAAACATTTAATTTCGCATATTTGAAAATTTGGTGATCAAAAAGTCTGTAACTTAAAAGTTATTTAATTATTTTAAAAAATAATCGCCAAATTTGCGAACTTCCTTAACATAACTTTTGTGGAGCAGTTTATATGCGAGCATCCTGGATCACTGCAAGCAACAACTGGATCAAGGAAGGAGTAATTTTATAGCGTGTGATGATGATTTACTCGATATAAATAACGTTCTTCTTAAAATTTCGGTGGTCCATATTATAAGACCGGTCCACTCAATTACTCTACATTTTTGTATTACAGTTACCGGATGTGTACGGCGGGGTGCGATCGATCTACCCGCAGAGGCCGGGCAGGAACGACGGGAACATCTACGTGGGCACCACGAAGAACAACATCCTGGAGGGCTCGCTGCAGCGGAGGTTCAACCAGGTAGGTGGCCGAACGCGGCGGTTCTGAAATGAGGTGGTTCTTTGTTGGTGCAGACCCGCGAGGTACACAAGTACCGGGAGCGTATTAGAGGCGGTGTGGTTAGAGGGAATAGTGTGTATGTCGAAGAAATCGTTCGAAACGAACGTCCTCATTTCCTGCAGGTAGATTCGCAATTCGCGACAGCTCGTATATCAAACCGTTTTTGCAAGTATTCTTCACCGATTTTTTTGTTTATTGGATGAGCTAATCAGTTGCTATATGGTGTGTTGTATACGTCTTCTCGTCACGCATTGCACGATATTTTAAATAAGAAAGTACTAGATTTAATTCCTCGTTGCTTATTTCAGGTGGTGTTCGGGCACGGTAGGCAACTTTGGGGCCTAGCCGTGCATCCTGACGATGAAATATTCGCCACGGCCGGCCACGACAAGAACATAGCCTTGTGGAGGAAAAACAAACTCATTTGGGTTACTCAGGTTTGTATTAACATCGCCAGTAGCGTTAACAACGAACTCAATTTTGAATTGCAGGTATCATTCGAATGCATTTCGCTGTGTTTCCACCCGTTCGGGGTGGCCCTAGCGGTGGGCAGCACCGAAGGGCATTTGATCATAATGAACTCCGAGACCGGCGTGGTGGTGAACACGATCCGAGTGTGCGGATCGCCTTTGAACTGCGTCGCCTACAATCCAAGTAATGTAAATTGCACGAGAACCGCGCGAATTTTTTACATTATTTTATTGCAGCCGGTGATTTGATCGCCATCGCTTCGCAAAACGGCAGCGTGTATTTGTTCAGGGTGAGCCGGGACGGGTACTCGTACAAAAAATCGAACAAAATCAGAGGCGCCCAGCCGCTCATGCAGCTCGATTGGAGCTCCGACACGAATTTCCTTCAAACCGTCACTGCCGACTACGACCTGTGTTTCTGTAAGTATGTAGGTACAGAGCGGGTGGTGTAGCCGAGGACGTGGCGTGCGCAGCTATTTCTACCGGGCTGTAGGCGTCTTACGCATTCTTCTATACAGATTGCTCCATTTTTCATTGCAACATAGGCTAAGGGTACAACAAAGACAACTTCAAATAGACACTTACAAAAGAAAGAGTGACATTTGTGTCATTGCAACTTTTCACTCTGACAACTGTCTTTGTTCCACTCATAGAAATGACCATGTTGCAATCGAAAATGGAGCAAACGATATATCTTTTATCAATTGATATTTGTTTTGCATCAACTGTACAACGAATGTTCCAGGGGATGTGAAAACGCTGTCACCGGAAAAGAGCCCTATAGCTGTGAAAGACGTGAAATGGTACACTCATAACTCAACTGTAGGCTTCACTGTAGCCGGTAAGTTGACGAAATTAGTGAAATAGTTCATTTGAGTTAGCAATGAAACGATTTTCAGGTATTTGGAACAACAGGTTTTACCCGATGACATCGATAATAAGCACGGCTAGCCGATCGGCTGCTCACGATTTACTCATATCAGGCGATACCGATGGTTACTTGCGGTTATTCAGGTAAATAAATATACAGAGTGTTAATTAATTGAGTGCCGATACTTCAGGATGTGATTATTTGGGTGATTTTAAGAAGGAAAGTTTATATCAATAGATGTCCTAAACCTGTTAGTTTTCGAGTTACAGGGTTTTACAGTTTAAAAAAACTTTTCTATGAGAATTTTCTTATTACTTCAGATATTTTTGGGAAATTTCGGACGTGGTAATAGTAGAAAATTAATTTTTGTGCCAAAAAAGTGTTTCCATGTATGGTGGAAATTATCAAAAGCAGTTTCAAAATGAACCTGGGAAAAATTGTTTTGGTTTTTATTTTTTTACGCGAAAATGGTGCGTCGTATGAAAGTAAGTCCTCAGACCGAATTTGCTCCAAAATAAATGATGATTTTAAAAATAATTTTGGTTTTTAGAAAAAACAGTGGCGTACCATTTTTTTTTTCAAACATATTCAGTTTAAACCCCGTACGGACGTCACTAGTAAATATTTTTAAAAATCTTTTATCTAAAAAAAATGCTCCTTAATAATTAAAAAGTGTGTACAAAATTTCATATAAATATCTGGAGTGATAAGAAAATTATGATTAGAAAATTAATTTATTTTCCAAAACTGCAACACCCTGCAGCTGGAAAACTAAGAGGTTTAGGACATATATTACTATAAACTGTTCTTCTTAAAATCATCCAAATATTCACATCCAGAAGTATCTACACTCAATTCACCAACACCCTGTATAAAAACCAACTCTTATAAACCTCCTCGAATGCATTCAAAAACGTAATTATCCACCAATTGCACCAACCAGGCGATAATTTACCCTGGAAAAGCGCCGACAAACGACTTGTAAATTCCGGATTCCAGGTACCCGTGCATCAGCCCCAAGGCGGAGTACAACGAGGAGAAGGTGTACAGCGGCACGGTGGCGTGCGCCCGGTTCCTCTTCAACGACAGGAACGTCGTCACCGTGGGCGGCACCGACGCCTCGCTGATGCTGTGGCAGCTGGTGGAGGAATAGCGCCAGCTCCCCCACGTGTACCTGCCGCCTCTGACGGCGAACGGGCCGACGGCGGGCCGGCGGAGATGGTTCTGCGGGGACTCGGATGAAACGGAGGAGTTCGCTACCGATTCGGACGGTACCTTCGAGGTGCTCCGTTGGCGATATTAGGAGTCGATCGGGGGGTATCGATTTTTTTTGGTTTGGGTAAAGGTGGTTGTGCATTGAAAGTTTTCTCGTGCGGTTAGATTTTTTGTAACGGGAGCTTTGATGTAAAGTGCACTAGAAACGCCTGTTTTCAAACAACGAAATACGTATACAAATTTAGGTAATAATTGTAAAGAAATTTGTTTTAGTATCTATACTTTAATTCCAAAATAGTAGGTACTAAATTCTAGGAAATATTATCGCTTTAATGCGAAAACATTGTTGTCATTTAATGCCTAATATTTTGGAATTAGAGTATAATTTGTGATATTCCGTTTGTAAAATGGATTTTATTTCAAACGAATGGGATGCATTTTTGTGAATTTTATTGTACGAGTGAAGTTTCGAAAGTTCCGGGAATTGTGCTCTAATTAAATTATGTAGAACTTCCGAAACATCCCTCGTAGTTGTAACGATAATTTCATGTTATGTATAAAACGAATTACCTCGATTTTTGAGCGTTAATCCATCCATATTTTAATATTTTTAGAGCTTTCACTAAATTGGAACAATTGCAACGATAATATAGTTTTATTCGTTAAAGGTACCGTTTACTTTTATTAATACAGGGTGTCCCAATGAAAAGTAGCCCCTTTAGTGAGCTAATAATTTTAAATTATAAGAGGCTACTTTTCATTGGGACACCCAGTATTTCATTGATATATCACTTTTAAAGTTTGCGTGATACTAAACGGTACACTCTAGATATTTCACTGAAAACTGCCAATAGGTAGGTAAGATTTAAATAAAAAAAATGCTTATTTAATTACAGCATCAAATATTAATTTATAAAAATAATCACTCAATAAATAGATTAGTCGATTACTTTTGTTATGAATTGTAGGATTACTAATTTTAAAAATTTTTGTAACTTAGGCGAAAATGATATTTAAAATAAATACCCTATAAATGCAAACATCAATTTCTCTTTAGAACAAGTTTATCTAATAAAAAAGTGAATATAACAAACTTCCATTTATTAAGAAAATAATTTGAACATTGTTAAATCTACATCAAGAAAAATAGAATAATTTCATATTCTATACATTATAATATATTAATCGTTAAATATTTCAAAAAAAACTCTACAACTACATACTTAAAGCTTGCTTCGTTAACGAATAAGGAATACTTCTAGGGCGAGTAATATTATACGGTAATAAATATAAAAATCCAAATGGAAAAGTATGAAACATCACATCAATTTACCAACAGTATTGGCACTTTAAGGAACTTCAACAGCACTTTGTACTAACCGGAAGGTCAAACAAAAAAAAAATAATACAAAATTCAAAAAAAAAAACCAAACACAAACCTAAATTCTAATACAGTCAAATGCTTCACCCGATCACCTGCAAATCAATTTACCATAAAAATCAATTCAAATAAACAAATAATTATATACAGGATGTCCCGCATAAGAACCGACACATACCAGGTAGGATATTCTTTAAAGACCTTTAACTTTTAAGGAATGCAACTTCATATTAAGCTGGTTTAAACAACATTTTGGGCTACCCCACGCGTCCCTGCTGCGGTTATTATTCGGGACACCCTGTATATATATCGTCCCAAAACTGACCACGAAACTAAACGGCGGTAACGTCGACGGTCTCGATTCTCGTAATCGGCTCCATCACCTTCACGTTCAAATTCTTCTCGACGTTCGAATTGATTTTCAAATCCTGTATCATCTCGATCACGCCGTTGATCGCCTCCGAGTCCTTCTCCACCTTTTGATTGGTCTTCGCGTAATGCAAATAGCAATATCCCCTGCTGCCCTTCCACGTTATGTTGTTCGGCTTGATGCCCTTCTCTCGCAGGGCCATTTTAAAGTCTCGAACTCTAAAAAAATAACATTCAGATAATGTACAATGTGGGTGCAATAAACACGACTTCAATTAGTCTCGTGTAAAGGACAAAGAGCGATGATTGTGGGATTGCAACTTTCTCGCTCTAACCGATGGTAATTTGAATCATCTTTCTTTGTTCAACTGGTAGAATCGATCGTATTTATACCTGACGTTTTTCTGGATATTGCTGACTCTCAAGGAATAGTCGATGTGCGGCTTCTTTTTCTTCTTCTTAATCTTATTTTGCGGCGGAATGTTTTCCAAATTTTCTTGAGTATTGTCGCTCTTGGAATCCTTGAATTTTACAACGCGACGAAGAGCACCTGGAAATATCACCAGAAATTCAGACTCCACTCTACTCCCATCTACTCTTACTCTACTCTAATCTAGTCCAATTTACTCTAAGCTACTGCATTCTACTACAATCTGCCTCTATTTTACTATGGTCTACTCCTACTACTCTATTCTAGTTGATTCCTACTCGATTCCTTTTTGATTTCTACTCTACTTTGAGTCTAGTCTATTTTGAATCCAGTGTACTTTGAATCTAGTCTACTTTGAAATTACTCTACACTCTACTCTACTCTACTCTACTCTACTCTACTCTACTCTACTCTACTCTACTCTACTCTACACTCTACTCTACACTCTACTCTACTCTACTCTACTCTACTCTACTCTACTCTACTCTACTCTACTCTACTCTACTCTACTCTACTCTACTCTACTCCTACTCTACTCTACTCTACTCTACTCTACTCTACTCTACTCTACTCTACTCTACTCTACTCTACTCTACTCTACTCTACTCTACTCTACTCTACTCTACTCTACTCTACTCTACTCTACTCTACTCTGATCTATGATGATTTATTTAAGCCAATACCGTCTTTTTGGCCGTTGTCGTTTTGAATCTGATCCTTCATGGTCCTGTTCTGGTAATAACTCCTGTTCTGGCGCCTCTTGAAATCGAACCGGCGCCTAAACAATGGAAAACGATTGGGCGGATCGTCAGGATTCGGTACTTTCAACGTGACATCTCGTCCTTCCCTAAAAATTCGAAGCAAATACGCATTACAAATCCAAAACTCGCCATTCTTTCAACAAGCTCACTTCTCGTGTTTCTCTCTCAATTCCAGCAAAACCTTCCTGCCCTTCAGCTGGCCCTTGGTCAGCTCGTGCCAAAAGATGCCCTCCGGCCTCGGTAGCTTTTCCTCCACCTTTATAGTGCGAGTAGGGGTCAGTATGTAGTCGACGGGCACGTCGTATTTTTGGAACAATTTGGCCGGCAGTTCGTCGAACACCTGCGAATCGTGGACTATCGTAACAACGACGGTCTCGTCGGTAATGGCTTTCAGTTCCTTGAAAATGCCGAACTCCAAATCGGCGAAACCGGCGCCCTTGCCGATCCGGCGGCCATCTTTCGAAACGGCCACGCTGCCCAGCACCAGCAAATCGATCGCGATGCCCTCCTCCTTCATATCGATCTTTGTACCTGCATTTTAATTGATTAATCAATTAATCTAATCTAATCACATATTAGAATAGAATCTCTCGAAGATGTATACTCTAAAAACTATGAGGAGCGATTTGAATTTAAGTTGGCAACACTCGCGTTTGTTCATTGGTTAATTACGAATCAAGTTCACTTTGTAAAACTTTATTTATTATTCTTGTTTAACCACCCTTTTGAGGTTATGTTTTAGAAATGTCAAGTATTTAAAATTTAGGCGATTTGTTAATTCGTTCCTTCTTTTAATATAATCATTTTGAGTTTACATTCAATTTTATTTAAAAATTTGCAACCTAACAAATTTTCTAGTAACTTTTTTGGCTGTAAATCAGACTTCTCGAAATGCTCCTGCTAGTTTTTAAATACAGCATAGTTACCGGTGTGCTCGATTCCCCATCTGGACACCACCATTTTAACGTCGAGCTTCTCGTCCATCTGTAGCTTCTTCATGAGGCACTCCTGCAGGCGGGGAAAGGGCACGTACAGCTCCTTGTGCTGGGCCAGCACGAGCGCCCGGGCGGGCGCCAGCGGCTTGTCGGGGTTGACTTCGATCGCCTTGGCGTCGCGAAAGGGGCCCAAGTCGAGCAGCCGGGCCGCCGCCTCCTCGGCGCCCTGGAAGTTCGGGATGCGCCCGTAGGGCTTCGGGAACACGGCCAGCTTGTTCTTGCTCATGTGGGCCCACACTTTCTTGCGTATGGTGAACTTCGTTTCGTCTGTAACGAGATAATCATCGGGAATTTAGATTACGGTGAGGCTCGAATAGGGGGTATTGAAATGGGCGTAATGCAGTGAGATAAAACGCGGATATTCGGTAGTAATTAAATTTTTTTTCGAAATTCTGACAATCGATTAAATGGGATACGTCAAACGGATAATTCCTCACCTGGTTGCAGCGGCTCCATTTGCGCTTGGGATTCACTCATCGTCGGCGACTTGTAAATAAATATCTCGGATCGAAATTGCCGGTTATCTTATCTCTGTTCGCTGCTCCCACCGGTTTCTAATTTTTCGATGGATGGCATTTTTTGCTTCGCAGTGTTTTGAATTGTTTTTCGCCAGATGACTGAACGAACGGGATCGCGCGAACGGAAATTTACAAGGCCGCCTCGATTTTTGCGCTAATTCGATGGCTGCGATTAGTTAGCGCGCCCACGTACGAACGAACGCCCGTTTTTGGTACCATAATTCATTTTCCACGCTCGTTTATCGTTGAATTTGTTGAATATAAACGGTATTTATTTAAGGTTAGGTGCGCCGCGGTGGAGTTAATATTTTTACCCGCGCTGTATTATCGATGAGCAAAAGGCCAACGATGGGGTAGATATCCGCGCTATCGGTCACTAGATGTCGCCGCTTATAAAATTTCCAAGGCAACTCCTTTTGCGCCGCACGGAAATTCGAATTCCTTGCAAAGATGGCCTTTGATCTGTTATTCGTGACATTTTTCTACGTATTTACATTTTTCTACACGGACTATTTGGTGAATTTCCCGCATTCTTACATCGGCTTTTAGTTTAATTGTAATGGTTTATCCGCACGCCTACCGAATGGAGCACACCGAAACGAACACCTCGAATAACATGTACGGCCTGCACGCCATTTCCCAGAGCAAGAAAATCAAAATACCCCCCGAGCTCCTGAAAGTAAGACCCCCTAAATCCCACCGCGATAATTCGCGAGAGTTATGTCAATTGTAACGTCAATTTTTGACAAATTTAGTCTCTTTCGGAGACAAAACCGTCGTTGATAAAATGCGTATTTGTGCAGTTGCTGCAAACCATCGATTCGATGAAGGAGAAATTCATGCAAAACCTGGCCAAGGCGATCGAAATAAAGTCGGTGGGTCCGAATTTGTTGTTCAGAAACGACGTGCAGAAGATGGTGATGTTCGTCGAGGAGTGGCTCAAGGTGTTGGGCATGAAACACGAGGTGTTCAACATCGGCACCTACACGGTCGAAGGCAAGAAGTGCCGATTGCCGCCCGTCATTCTCGCCAGTTTGGGCAACGATCCCAACAAGAGGACTGTAAGTAACTTTAGGAGCTGCGTATTTACTCGGTTTTACACGCGCATAATACGTTTTGCAGATTTGCGCCTACGTTCACGTGGACGTCCCCGATCCCAAGTTCCAAAAATGGGACACGGACCCTTGGAAACTCACCGTCAAAGACGGCAAGTTGTACGGAAACGGTACGGGTTGCGGCAAGGGACCCTTGATGTGCTGGCTGCACGCCCTCCTGGTACTCCCCAAACCATTCGCACTTCCATCTTTTTGTTACAATTCCCGAATTTCAGACGTTCAAAATGAACAAGATGCCGCTACCGGTGAACTTTCGAATGTGCATCGAAATGATGGGGCACGCCAACAGCCAGGGCTTCGGCGCGTTTTGCAGCACCAAGAAGCAGGACTTCTTCAACCACGTGGATTTCGTGGTGCAAATCGACGGCGAATGGATCGGACACAAAGTGCCCTGCATCATCTTCGGTACAGTCGGTACGTTTCTGCAAATCTACAAACTACTTCACAACAAGATCCTACAAATCTTGCGCCAGATTCCAGACCTCCACTCACAGTAACTCTTCTTCCTCCTCGACGCTTGTGTAGGTCTAAAACCTGTTCATTACCCATTCCATCTCTTTAGGGGTCTACCGGGCGGTTATTTTCTTCCGTAGCTTTCCATTTCTTACCACCTTCGCCATTCTCTTCATCAGGTAATATCCACATGGAGATGACGATGGAAGGCGACTCGATCGAAACGATGAAATCGGACATGAACACCATCTTCGACAGCATGGTGAACGAGCGAATGGAAATACAAATACCGCACTACTCCGATTCGGTCGAGCAAATCGGCCCCGACGAGGAAATGATCTACGCGAAAATCGACGAGTTCGATCCCGAAGAGATTCGGTACAGGCTCGTTTACCTCGCTTATTCGATCGATAATAGTTTTTGCTTGGCGTTAATTATTCCAGCGAATCGCTGCCGCCCCACAAGCGCTCTTGGGACAGGGTCCGATTGTTGATCAACATGTGGCGCTTGCCCAGCGTGATGTTGGACAAGATCGAGGAGTGCACGTGCCCGAATCGCGAGAAGAAGATGATCCGGAGGCACTTTATCCTGAAGATCGTGCCGCGACAGACGCTCGACTACGTCAAGGAGTTGGTGGTGAAGCACGTGCAGAGGATCACCAAGGAGAAGAACTTGAAGAACAAGGCGAACTTGAAGATCATCTCGGCGGGCAAGCCTTGGGTGGAGAACATCAATTCGAGCTGTTACAGCACCGCGAAGAAGGCCATTTTGCAGGTTAACGCGCGATGTATAGAGAGATCGTTGCGTTGAGTAATAGTTTTTTTTAGATTACGAAGATGGAGCCGTTTTTAATTCGCGAGCAAGTTAGCCGGGAGACGACCAACGTGTTCGACAGCGGATTGGAGAAGAAGCTGGTGATTTTGCCGATTTGCGCCAGAGGCTCTAATTTGGGTCAAGCCAACGAGCATATATCTTCCAGGTGCTACCAGGAGGCCATTAAAGTACTGGTGGCTTATATGTTTCAAGTAGCTAGCTTGAAGACTAAGAAGAACGTTAAAGCGAAGAGCGATAAACCGAAGAAATGAGGAGAAAAATGTGCAAGTTTTTCCTACAAGGTTTATCCCAATAGTTCCGATAATAATGGACTGGAGATATGTTGGAATTTTTTGGGATAGATTTTGGTATGTGTGTGGTATATTTTTATTGATCTTTTATAAGAAATGTATTTTATTAATAAATAGTTTCTCTGGTATTTTGAATGATACTTCACTCGAAGTGAATATTTACAAGAATTATCTTCATAGAGAGGATTCTTAGTAGCAGATATTGCAACAAACATTTTAATTGCGGTCGTAAATCTGAGCGGTCGTAAATCTGAAAAAAAATTTGATTTTTTTCGCGAAACAACTAAATACGCCGTATGCTAACCGGCGAATATACGATTCAATTTAATTTTACGAGCCTCCTTTCTGTCTGCTCCTCAGCGAGCGAAGCTCAGCATTTCGGCTCGGAATTGCCCATAAACCGTCGAATAAAAAAAATACGAAATTCCACTGAAAGTTTCGAAGCTGGAAAAAATCCCATCAGGAATTATAATTAAAGGAAAATGTGTAGACTTTATTGGCTAGTTAATAGGACGGGCGGTCCGGCAAGAAGTGCCGTATATAATTATGAACTCGTACGGTTGAGATGTCTTGTCACGATTGCGTTAAGTATAGTGTTTTGGTACACCACAAAATGGCCTGTCGAACAGTTCGATATTGGCCGCTTTATCGACTGTCGATCGTGGCGAGAATTTGCTTGGATCAGCGCGTGGCATGCGTATAGATTGCATTGTTTATTCGAAAATTGCGAACTACGAAAAAAAAAAATTCCAAACTTCACACTGTACGTTCCACACATCTACGAGATAGTAAGTTGTACATTAACGAAATTATAGGTGTTAGCAATTCGATCGAAAAACGAACCTCCTTTTTAAACATTGACAATCTAATTTGCCGGAAAATATTGTTTTTAGATGCTATCTCGTTAATAGGAGATATTCAACACCTTCGGATGATTGGAGAGAATCTCGGAGAACGCGTTTATTTTTCGTATCCGATTGGTAAAAGTCTTTTCTCTCCGCGAGATCTGGCGATTAGAAAACCACAAATTATTTCATTTATTACTATTATATCGATACAATCTCGGTGCTCGTTCACTTTTATTGAATACGTTTGCGCCGAATATCGCACAGACTCGAATTCAGCATATAAAAAAAAATTAATTTCACTCATAAATACCAGCTTCATTATCTAATACATTAAAATACATTTAATTGTATTTAACTTATACTATTACTATAATTTTATGTTTATTATCTCGTTTATACCTAAAAGATAACAAATCAGATGAATACACTAAATCCACACCTGTGCATAGTAACCGTAATCTAATAAATTAAGTTAATTGGTACACTACAGAATAGAAACGAACGTTTTTAATCGGATTCGATCATCTCACAAACGACCAATACTGTTTATTTTTTTTCTTCTCTCCTCTTCATTAACGAATCGACATCGCTCGAACATAGGATAGCCGCGATAATTACATCAACCGGCGCGAAATTCGCCAAAATACACGTCTCCCATCGAAAAACCCGAATTAATCCCGATCGCGAATAATCATTCCGGGAATTTCGCTACACACATGCCCCGCACCGGAACGAATTTCACGGCGCTCCGGGCCGTGACTCGCTCATTCGCCGGCCGGGGCCGCCTCCCGATAACGAGACCGAGATATACGCGTCGGGAGAGGTGAGAGAGCGCAGAATTATGAGGTTCTATTCTCGGGCCCCTTCATTACACAGTGGGCAGTGTACCTCACGTTTTTTCCGTTTTCGCGATATATGCCTGCGTACATTTTACCAGCGATCGATATTCGATCAATACCTCGCCGAGTTAACTTCATAGTCGATGAGATTGACACTATTTTCGTAAAAAATCGAGTAGTTTTGAGAGAGTCAGAGTTGAGAGATTGATTGTTGAGAGAGTCATAGTTGAGAGAGTCAGAGTTAAAAGATTGATTGTTGAGAGAGTCAGAGTTGAGAGATTGATAGTGGAGAGAGTCAGAGTTGAGAGGTCGATAGTGGAGAGAGTCAGAGTTGAGAGATTGATAGTGGAGAGAGTCAGAGTTGAGAGATTGATAGTGGAGATAGTCAGAGTTGAGAGGTCGATAGTGGAGAGAGTCAGAGTTGAGAGATTGATAGTGGAGAGAGTCAGAGTTGAGAGGTCGATAGTGGAGAGAGTCAGAGTTGAGAGATTGATTGTTGAGAGAGTCAGAGTTGAGAGATTGATAGTGGAGATAGTCAGAGTTGAGAGAGTGATAGATTGAGAGAGTCAGAGTTGAGATAGTGATAGTTCGGAGAGTGATAGTGATAGAGAAGATCAATTTTGTCCGTTCTTACAATAACGCAACTAAATTTCAATAAAAGATAGACGAGAATTTGCCGCTACAATAGACGATTTTGGAGAGACGTGTAGAGGTAATTTGAGATAGGCGTTTACACCTTCTAGTTAGGTCCCCATTAGCGTCGATTGTGGCGTACATAGAAGGAAATTTCAAGCCGGTTGGGCCCAAATTGATTTTCGGATGATTAATGAAGCGCCCGAGTCGATCGATCAATCGCTCGTCAATGTGGTGAGAATTAAGTCGATGTTTCGATCTTTTTTTTCCGCGTAAACGAAAAAGCCAGTGCTGGAGGACCCAACAATCCTCGCAACACTTATTTATTGTAGAGTAGATTCAAAAATTTAGTATAGAACCTGATGCGTTTTTGTAACATAAAAACGAACTATATCTTTTAATTTAGGAGTGTCATTGTGGGATTAGTGATTACACGGCAAGTTGCATTGTTGGAAACGACAATTTTTTTTCCTCGAATCTCTAGAAGAATATTAGAAAACGTGCCGTACATGATCCGATACAACAAGTACTACCGTAGAACGTAACAGCTAGTAACGCGGCGAGCGGTCCCCGTCATTAGTATACACATTTAGCCCCCCCCGGGGGGTTCGACTCTCGATCGCTGGCGATTGCTTTCGTTTTAATATCTTCGCCGGTACCACCTAGGCGCTGGCTTTCAGCTCGACTTAATCTAATGACCGATTCTTTTCTCTTCTTCGGCCGTTTTCTAACGCGACAGGAAAAATGCACCGGTCATTAAAACGGATGAGGCGACCGGGCCGGGGAAACCGAAATCGGGCGGTGGTTTGGGTATTGTTTTTAGCGCGATTTTATCGTCCTTCGGATTAGATTTGAGCGATCGTTAACTAGCGATTTTGATTACCCCATCGCTGGATTTTCAACAGGTTACACGATTAAACACCGCGGGTTTAGCAGGGGTTAAGGAGCTCCTGAACAATAAATACCAATCAAACTAAATTCGAAAATTACACTGTAATGCATTAATTCGGTAGGTAAGTAGATTATTTCGACAAGAATAATTCAAAAACTGTAAATTAGATAAGAGACGATTTAAAGTTAATTTAAAAGGCATTTAAAAAGTCCTGTTTATAAATTTAAGAAAAACACGCATACGTGTGTGGAACAAATTAATGTTCTTCTGTTATCAATCTTCATTCCTTTTTCATGTTACTTGATACAGATTTCTGTTAAATGATAAGGGGAGACATCGAAGCAGGACCGCACTCGGTTTATTTCGAATTTAACTGCGCTGTTTCGCGAGTTTTTGAATTTCGAGTTGCGTTTAGCAGAATTTATGCACTGAATTGTTACGAAATCAGTGGGAGAATCATAAGAGATAATCACAAGAGATCGGGGGCGAGCGGGGCTGAATAAGGCGAGCCCGGCGCTGGCGCAAAACGAGGCATAACGAATGATTTTTTCAGGTAGCCCCGACTGTATTCATACTTACCGTGGGCCGATAATGCGGGAATTTCTTTTAACGACTACAACTTTTCATTTGAACTTTCGACTGTCTCGGAATGTTGAAAGCGTCTTTTAAGAAAACGCTCAATAATTGTAAACATGTCGAAACGGCCGCTCGGAAATTCTTCAATCGCTTACGGACGCGTCCCCAGAAAAATTTCCCGCCTTCGTTTCCATATTTAAATGGAAATTAGGATTTAATGTTAATATCCTAGAGGAGTGGGATAATAGAGGTGCTAAAAATTAAAAGTTGGGATTTGAGACCAATTTTTCCTAGATATTGGGGTGCATTGGAATCCCGCACCGATTTTTGTTATCTAATATGAAGATTGTACACTAATAAGTGGGACTTTAAGATGCCTTCGATGATACTTACGTAACCAAAAACTGACAAAATTGACATTAATGACATTTCGCATGACAGAAGTTTAATAGAGGTGGGAATTTTTGTCGGTATAGAGGTGCAGTAACGACTGTTACAAAATAACCGTTATTTTTTCCAATATCGTGATTTGTATTCTACTCTACTAAAAAAATAAATCATCTAATTGTCGAAAAACTCCACATATCCGACAGTGTGTGCGAGACACGTCGTCCTACACGCCGAAAAAAAAAATACACAAAAGCCACCGTTTTCAATCATGCGCGACCCACTCGCGTTCCGTCGGGTCCCATCTCGTCCCGGTCCTACAGTTAGTCAACAATCCAACGACAAAAATGAAAATTAATTAAAATGTGTCCCGAACTGCCATTCCTGAGCTCCACCGGCCTCGCCCGACATTTGCACCATTACACCTTCCCTTACACCCCGATTCCCCACCCTAAAACCCCCCTCTAAACCACCACCTTCTTATCGCTAATTACACTCTAGAAACACGCAGAAATGATTTATTAGGAATAAAAAGCGCCAGCGCGGAATCGCGGGGTTGGAATCAGCGACCAAACGGCGTGGTTCCTCCGAACAAGCGAAATGAATGGATCGAAAGAGAGCAGAGAACAATGAGTGATCGAGCCCAGTGTGACAATACATGATAGATAGACGCTGATGCCATCTCTGGACTGCCGTAAAGAGGACCCCCCTTCGTAACAATGGGCCCATTTATTTATAAGCGGGTTACTCCGACTCCTGTCCCCAAGTAACTAATTACGCTATGAATATGAATGCGTACGTAATATTTAGATAAGAGATTGGTGAGGTGATAGCGCCGGATTGGTCTTCTTTTGTCTTGTCACGGACTGAGCTGTTCCGAGTTTTTCAGATTGTTCTCGAAATTCTTCTATGTATCGACATGTTGGGGGGAGGATTTGTCAATTAATTTGGAA